AATGAAAATGGATACAAGATGGCTTTTAATTTTCGTGCACTGCTGGATGGATACAATTTGGGGTGATTTAAAATGACCTGCTAATTAAAAAGTTTTGGATTCAAAATAAATGCCTGAAATCAATGCATTAAGGGTTAATCTTTAATTTGGTGCTAGATTTTTGTCTCAAAAAACATATTTTCTATTAAAAATTAATCGATGAAATTAATTCAAAATTGAGCAATTTGGCGGTTGATTTTTTTTTGTTAGAAAGGGTCCGTAAAATCTTCTATTTAAACTGTTCTTAAATTTACTGTTATTTCAAAATCTAACTAATGTAAGAAATTGTGTGTTGTTTTGAAAATTCCGCGCTAATATAACGTTGTCTGCTTGCACGAAAAACTGTTGTCTGTTTAAAAATGAAGTGTGCATGCGCGCTTGTAATGAGCGTTGTCTCTACGGGGCATAAACACACGTGACAGTGAGCCACAATACATCATTAAAGAACTTGATTCTATCCCCTTCTTTTTTTGGTTTTACGATTTTCATTGATCATTTCTCGTTGCATTTCTCGACAAAATAACTGCACAACTAGAAAAACAGAAACCTTACGCGATTTTATGGTGTGTCCAGACCCACATGGACACTTAAAAACAAATTTATGTGTCTTTCTATGATTACACAAATATTGATATTCAGTCGTTTAATTGCACGGTGAAGCCACAATATAGCTTCGTATAATCAACCTATGTTTTCTTAAAGTGACGGTTCACAACACACCCATGGAACAGCATGGTACATACACAACTAAGAACCAATTCGGAAAATCCTGAACAAATCTCGTCCCCCCCCCGCCAACGGTTTGGTGTCGATGTGTGGCCTCCGCTCCAGCTCGAGATGACAACATTGAGCGAGGAGATGGGGCCTGAAATTGGAGTCTACCATGGCACAGCATTATGATTAAGGTCTGTAACTATCCGCACCAAACTCATTGGTTGCACTGAGTGTAGAGAAGACAGCGCGGTGGGGACAACGATTTGGCATGATCCTTCAAAATATATTGATTCTATACTGATGCATTTTAACCGCTGGATTCGATAAAATAGCTTAAATATTGGTAAAAATATTAAACAATCCTATCCATCTTCTGAGTGCTCAAATCAAATGAAGTTGATAGTCCAGTTCATCAAAGAAACAAGTGCGTTGGCCTTATCCTTAATATATCAATGTGATTTCAAGCTATTCATGGTGACAGACAACTGAGTAGTATGCTCGGACAGAGCATACTGTCCGAAACTTTAAGTTCCTCACGGTTCTTTTCAGAACCATACAGACTCACAAAGAGATCATATCAATGTGAATGATATGTTGAGGATCAGGGTAGCATGTCTCTGTAAAGAAGAGTCGTTGAAAGNAAATGAAAATGGATACAAAATGGCTTTTAATTTTCGTGCACCGCTGGATGGATACAATGTGAGGTGATTTAAAATGACCTGCTAATTAAAAAGTTTTGGATTCAAAATAAATGCCTGAAATCAATGCATTAAGTGTGAATCTTTAATTTGGTGCAGATTTGTGTCTCAGAAAACATATTTTCTATTAAAAATTAATCGATGAAATTAATGCAAAATTGAGCAATTTCGCGGGGTTTTTTTTGATAGAAAGGGTCCGTAAAATCCTCTATTTAAACTGTTCTTAAATTTACTTTTATTTCGAAATCTTACTAATGTAAGAAATTGTGTGTTGTTTTGAAAATTCTGTCTGTTTAAAATGGAGTGTGCATGCGCGCTTGTAATGAGCGTTGTCTCTACGGGGCATAAACACACGTGACAGTGAGCCAGAATACATCATTAAAGAACTTGATTCCATCCCCTTCTTTTTTGGTTTTACGATTTTATTTTCGACAAAATAACTGAACAACTAGAAAAACAGAAACCCCACGCGATTTTATGGTGTGTCCAGACCCACATGGACACTTAAAAACAAATTCATGTGTCTTTCTATGAATACACAAATATTGATATTCAGTTGTTTAATTGCACGGTGAAGCCACAATATAGCTTCGTATAATCAACCTATGTTTTCTTAAAGTGACGGTTCACAACACACCCATGGAACAGCATGGTACATACACAACTAAGAACCAATTCAGAAAATCCTAAACAAATCTCGTCCCCCCCCCGGTGTCGATGTGTGGTCTGCGCTCCAGCTCGAGATGACAACATTGAGCGAGGAGATGGGGCCTGAAATTGGAGTCTACCGTGGCACAGCATTATGATTAAGGTCTGTAACTATCCGCACCAAACTCATTGGTTGCACTGAGTGTAGAGAAGACAGCGCGGTGGGGACAACGATTTGGCATGATCCTTCAAAATATACTGATTCTATACGGATGCATTTTAACCGCTGGATTAGATAGAATAGCTTAAATATTGGTAAAAATATTAAACAATCCTATCCATCTTCTGAGTGCTCAAATCAAATGAAGTTGATAGTCCAGTTGATCAAAGAAACAAGTGCGTTGGCCTTATCCTTAATATATCAATGTGATTTCAAGCTATTCATGGTGACAGACAACTAAGGTGGAAAGCTTGTGGTAGCACCATGCAAGGATACGATTTCTTTGTTAGTCTGTATGGTTCTGAAAAGAACCATGAGGAACTCAACGTTCCGGACAGTATGCTCTGTCCGACTGTAAAGAAGAGTCGTTGAAAGTTGTTTGAACGTAGAAAATATGTCACGGCTTTAGCAATGGAAGGGAAAAGTCGACTCACGCGCCTGCGTATAGCATGCTGGGGCCATATAGGTTTGACAAAGTCAAGGTCGAATAAATGCATTCAAAGAGAGGATTCAAACATTTCTGTCCTAAATAGGCTGAATAGTTTTAATTAACACAGGGTTAATCGAAGCCTTAAAAGGATTAATGGAAGGTATCCTTGATGACAACTTTTTACCGATTGTCTAA